AACTCCTTGGTTCATACCCAGGACACTGCAATCTGTATCAACCATTAGCACCAGTCAATGGTATTTGTGATGCGTTTCTGAATGTTCAGTTGGCTGAGTTTCATGCTTAATGAATAAAGTATAATAATAGTGATAATATAATAATAATCTTATATTTTAAGAATGTATTTGGTTGATACCTAAGATGGCAGCAAACCGTATCAACCATTAGCACCAGTCAATGGTATTTGTGATGTATTTCTGAATGTCCAGTTGACTGAGTTTCATGTTTAATGAATAAAGTATAATAATAATAGTGATAATATAATAATAATCTTATATTTTAAGAAACTCCTTGGTTCATACCCAGGACACTGCAATCTGTATCAACCATTAGCACCAGTCAATGGTATTTGTGATGCATTTTTGAATGTCCAGTTGGCTGAGTTTCATGTTTAATGAATAAAGTATAATAATAATAGTGATAATATAATAATAATCTTATATTTTAAGAAACTCCTTGGTTCATACCCAGGACGCTGCAATCTGTATCAACCATTAGCACCAGTCAATGGTATTTGTGATGCATTTCTGAATGTCCAGTTGACTGAGTTCCATGTTTAATGAATAAAGTATAATAATAATAGAGATAATATAATAATAATCTTATATTTTAAGAAGATACTTGGGTTGATACCTAGGACGCTGCAACCTGTATCAACCATTAGCACCAGTCAATGGTATTTGTGACGTGTTTCTGAATGTCCAGTTGACTGAATTTCATGTTTAATGAATAAAGTATAATAATAATAGTGATAATAAAATAATAATCTTATATTTTAAGAAGGTCCTTAGTTGATACCCAGGACACTGGCAGCAAACCATATCAACCATTAGCACCAGTCAATGGTATTTGTGATGCGTTTTTGAATGTCCAGTTGGCTGAGTTTCATGTTTAATGAATAAAGTATAATAATAATAGTGATAACAAAATAATAATAATATATTTTAAGAAGGTCCTTGGTTGATACCTAGGACGCTGGCAGGAAACAATATCAACCATTAGCACCAGTCAATGGTATTTGTGATGCATTTCTGAATGTCCAGTTGGCTGAGTTTCATGTTTAATGAATAAAGTATAATAATAATAGTGATAACAAAATAATAATAATATATTTTAAGAAAGTCCTTGGTTGATACCCAGGACGCTGGCAGCAAATCATATCAACTATTAGCACCAGTCAATAGTATTTGTGATGCGTTTCTGAATGTCCAGTTGACTTGAGTTTCATGTTTAATGAATAAAGCGTAAATCGTAATAATATTTAATTAAATATTGCTAAGTTCATAGCTTAGTATAAGTTCACGGCCAATCCCTCAACCGGAGCCCCGTCTCGATGACCCCTTAGGGACCCCAAGAGGAATATTAACGCTTCAAAAAAACACCTCTCCCAAGTTAAAAGAGGAACCTCCGGTACCATCTCAAATTTAAAAAAACACCAAAAAAAATGAGATTTCAACCAGCCTGCCCGGAACCTTAAAAAGAAATTTTTAATAAGTTAATTCATTCAAATATTTAAAAATGGAGGTGGAATTTGTAAGTACCTGGACTTCTCGCGTGTGATACGCTATGATGAGCCCCAGTAAAATGGCTGTGGAAAGGCTAATGAGGCATTTCAAGGCCAGGGAGAACATAGAACCCTGCGAAGGAAAGAAATATAATAAATTAAGTTGCGAACCGTACAATTCTCCCATCCCAAGCAGTCAAAAAAATATAAAATTACATATATTTTCTTCGTTCCCTCAAAAATAAGATTTGCCCCCCAGCCGTCCAACTTGTTCAAATAATGCAAATTGTCCTCAACTTATAACTAAAAATGGAGACCAAAATGGCTAGAATAAAATCCAGAATTCCCAACCTGCTCCGCGCCTCCGATATGTGCAGTCCTCGGCTTACGACCACCATTCGGCGCTACATAGAACAAAATTGTCCGGAATACTCAGCCTGCTTCCATGTCTCCGATACGGGCAGTCCTGGGCTTACGACCATGATCGTTGCTAAGTGAGACATTTGCGCTGGGAGTTTTCCTCCATTTTATGACCGTTCTTAAGTTTTTAAGTGAATCAGTTGTTAAGGAAGACGGCTGGGAAGCGAATCCGCCTTTCCCCCATTCGCTTTGCTTGAGGGAAGGTCACAAAAGGGGATGGCGGGACCCCCGTCGTAAATACGAGTCAGTTGGATGTTCGATTTGCTTAACAACGGTGGCCAGCGAGGCCGTAAAACGGGGCAAACGCTCACTCGGCAACTGTCTCGCTCAGCAGCGGGAATGCCGGGCTGAATTGTGGTCGTTAAGTCGAGGACCCGGTGTGTTGTTTTTCCGCCGGAACTATGGCTGCGGAAGCTTCCAGAAAGCCACAACTCAAAGCAATGGGAGCCGTTAACCTTTAACGGAACAAAAGATATATATATATATATTTAAAGAGATTTTGAATCCGTATCAAGACTTTTTCCCTCAGGATTTCGAAGAATAAGTCTGAGGTAATTTTTTCTCTCACACTGACCATTGATTTCTCCGTGGCGGAAAAAGAAATGAGAATAAAAATATCCCTCCGGAGCGGTAATTCCTATTTTTCCAGAAATATAAGATATAAATCTTTCTAATTTTAGCATCCCATGCAGACAAAATCCATTCGTATGAAGCATATATCCCCAGGTTTTTTTTTTTACATTTCTGATCCCAATCTAATGCTTTCTCCCTCTAACCTTGTCCTTGATTCACTTAGTGACCGACAAGCACAGACCTCCCGCAACTTAACAAGAGTTCCTCGAGAGACCGCTTCAAGTTATGACGGCCCTGAAGGAAGGACCGATGTTCACAGATACAAACAACCTTTCCAAGCAGTCCCCGTAATCCAAATTCAGACGCCCGGCAACGGACTCATAGTTATGACGGTCGTAGTGTCGTGTGATCCGCTTTTCCGACGAGCCGAGTCGATATGAGTTCGCAGCCAAGCATCCGAATTTTGATCATACGGCCAGAAGGATCGTAAGCCTCTTTTTCCAGCCCCGTTGTAACTTTCAACGGTCACTAAATGAACTATTGTTAAGTCAAGAACTGTATTTGTCAGGAAGGGTTTTTTTGGGGGTGAAGAACAGATTTTTGGGGAGCAAAGCGTCCTTTTAAAGCAGCCTGGCAGAATGATTTTGAATTCCGACCTACTCATTCACCAAAAAACGTCGGTTTTCCTCGAGATTCCTCATCTCCCCTGTCTCTGAGATAGGGAACCTCAGAGGTCATTTAGTCCAGCCCCAAAGTAGGCGGCTGAGGTGAGCAATGGGGTTTTGTTTTTTTTGTTTTTTTGCATGGGCCGCATTGGCAAGAGGCCAGCCTATCTTCTGTGCCTTGCAAATCACGATCAACGCCCCTCAAAGAGCCGATTGTGGAGCTAACTCGACAAACCATCATCGACGGAAAAACCTGGAGTGTCGGGCTGTTGGGTGGCTTAAGGAACGGGGGTATCCTTTCCATGGGCTGTGTTGGCAAAAGGCCAACCCGTCTTCTGTGCCTTGCCTATCACGATCAACGGCTCAGCGCAAAGTCCCCGAAATAGCCCATTGCGGAGCAGCCGACCCAACAAACCACGATTGACCGGAAAACCTGGTTTAGAGGGCCTTTTTTCCACCGGATGCCGTCCGAGTGGCTTCAAAAGCACTGGGGGCGAAAAAGACTAAGATCCCTTCGAGGCAGGATGGCACGAAACCCACCGAGCCAACACGAGATCTCAACAAGCAAAAACCCCTGGCTTCCGATTTGGGAATCTAGGATCAAACGCCGGGGATCGATTTTGCTAAAAAGCAGCCTTGGGAAGAAACCAGCTTTCGGCCGGGACTTTTCCAGATCAATTAGGCGCCGAGCCAAAAACTGGCTTCAGCCGGGCTGGCTGGGTGCCCATTGCTGCCCGCCCTGCAGGAAGGGAATTCTGTGCCCGCCCTGTTACAACTCCAGTCTCTGCCACCCACGCAAGGAGATTCCTGCCAAAACAACCTTGTGTGCGTGCGTTTGTGTGTTTTAACACAATAAGAGGTTGACCGCAACGGTAGGGAAAGGAGATGGAGGGGAGGGTATAATTCAAGATTATTAATAGCTTGGCTGTTTGCTTTTTATTTTATATATATTTTTTCCCGGTGGTTTCTAATCATAAAACAGGGATTGGCAACTTCGAGACGGGTGGCGGTCAGCTCCCAGAATTCCCCAGCTAACAAGCTGGCTGGGGGACTCTGGGAATTGAGGCCCACCCCTCTTAAAGCAGGCTGGCTGGGGGATTCTGGGAATTGAGGCCCACCCCTCTTAAAGCAGGCTGGCTGGGGGATTCTGGGAGTTGGGAGTCCACCCCTCTTAAAGCAGGCTGGCTGGGGGATTCTGGGAGTTGAAGTCCACCCCTCTTAAAGCAGGCTGGCTGGGGGATT